TTGACATTAATTTTGTTGAAATGATTAACAAAATGATTACAATATATTTATTAGGAATACAACCATATTTTCAACAAATAATGAAATAATGATTTACTCGAATAAAATTGTTTTTATTAATAATTGGCCATGTCTTGTATTTATTGTCTATTGAACATTACAGTCATCACATACTGTACAGTAGTCACCTAATAGTTGTGTCCACAGGTGTACCCCACATGTGACCATATTGTCAACTGAGAAACGGGTACCACATTAGTCACTGTATGTATAGATTGTAATCAAAAATTAATGTGACATTAAAATCAATCATATATTCATAACAATTATTGTTATGGCCTATAATTTTGACCACTCACAATTACTTAATCATATTATTTTGTAGTGCAGTAAACCATTACTAATAAATCATTAGTTTTTATGAAATCAATCATTATGGGCAAAATTAAACATTAAAATGTTGTGTAATATAATTTTTAAACAGTGCGATCACACAGCGATGCTATACGTTAACCACAATTCGGGAAATGCATCAAACATTTCAAATTTTACAAAGATATTGTAAGGTCACTTAAATATTGTTATTTTGACAATTTTGAATATTTTTAACAACAATTAGTTTATTAAAATTTCAGAAATCCATAGAAAAAGCATAATCTCGACCATTATCTCTATACAAAAAGCATTATTTCATTATTCCTATAGACTTAACATTACCCATAGGATTAGCATTGCCATGGACTCAACATTACCCATGTTAAAACATTAAAATATGTCATAGATTTAGCTGTAATCCCATGTGAAATCTCATAGAATGGGGAGACTGGTAGGGGAGGGACCGAACCATCGGAATGACCACAATTCAGAATAACTCCTTTTATTGGGAAAAATGTGAAAATGGAATGTATTTTATGGATAAATATGTCGAATGGAAGACGATTTGATATTTCGGTGAATAAAGTTCAATATCTCGGAACCACTTAAGCAATCAACTGCTGTCTTCACGGATCTATTACCAGATAGTCTGCGCTCAAAAACGCAATTCACACTAAAGTATAGGTCCAATGAGCGGTGCATATTGAGTGAGGTGAGGTCAAAGTAAGTTACTTTTTTTAAAAAGTCCATACAAATTAAAAGTTCATAGAGATTATGATTGAATAATCTATTTTTATCAAATGAACATTACTGTTAGTCTCTGTGGACTTCATTCGAATTATGCTTACAATTGTAATTAAGGATAATTATTAAATTTTTTATACGCAATTTTTGGCATTTTACCAAGTCTGAACAAGTGACACTGAACAAATCTCTTTAGAATGCAAAATATATACGATAAACTTTCAGACGTACAGTTAAACGTCTTTCCTGTAAACATCGATGTTATGAACCTAAACCGAAATTCATACTCAATAGACTTAATGTTAAACTAACATCGATGCTGTGAACTAATCGGTGTTATAAACAAAAACACCAACAGTATTATTCACAGGATCGATTACTGACTGTACTGCACTACCATGTGTATCATAAATTATTATTCATAATAATATATCAAATTATGAATGAGTAGAGGTGACTATACATAACTAATAAACTAAATTAAAAACGTAAGTTTCGGTAGCTTTTACATAGATATTCACTATCAATGAAATTCGAATATAATTAGAATTATTAATATAATTGAAAATAAGTTTTAAAAACTTGGTAAAAAGTATGTCTATAAATACGCATGTGCCTAATATTTATTATAATACATCACAGAGACAGGGATTGTTTATAGAACTGTTGCCGTGGTCAATTTTCCTATGTTATGCTTTAAATAAGTTATGTAACATAACAGTAACTTAGGTTATATTGTATTTGTATTGCATGTTTTGATTCAAAATACTGTACAGTCGTTGCAAAATACAGTAATTGCAACTTTATATTGATTGATAGCAATATTTACAATAAAACAGTGTTTGGCAGACATTAAGTATTAATTGGATAATAAAGTGGTGTCTGTTTGACTGTTTGATACAAATATCCAGTAATTGATTGTATTTAACGAATGGAGCAAAAGATCATTACATTCTTCAAGGAATGTATAGAACGGCACGAAAGAGAGAATCGAAAGACCCGTACGTCTAATATTGTCGGCCATTTGGCTAACGATAGGTATAGAGATATGAGAGAATGGTTTTACGAGAGATACCCGAGTCCTTCAGATTGGATCAACTTCTTTCACGAACACCACAACCACTTCTCTTACGATACAACTAATGGCAACTTCACTGTCAAACAATACACACACCAGTGATTGCATTCAATAATCATTACATTTATTGATTGAATTGTTTTCACAACTATTATCACAATTCAAACTAATTTGAAATTAAGCTAAATTTGAAATCTATTTAAAGTTTAAAACATTTTCTAAATTGTATTCATTTTCGTATTTTAATGAATAAAACAACGAAATGAATGAATCAAATGATAGGCCATTTCCATTGGTTTTGAGGCGCTTTTGCCACCAATGGTTCCCAGGCTTTGGTGTCCAACAGTCTCTTCGTAAGCAATAACTCGTTCTCCGCCTGAACTATCAATTCCTCAACACATCCGCAGCCGATCTTCTCCTCAATCACAGGAATCTCTTTTTCCTACAAAACACAGCATTTATTAAATGATATGTCATATGAATGGCAGACCTTCTGGACGACAGCGAGTCTATCATTGATGGTCTGAACGGTATATCTCTTATACGCGTATTCTTCGGGCATTTTTCGCAAATTCTTCAGTATTTTGTTATAAGTTTTTGTCAAAGTCTGCAACAAATCAATCAATTAAACAATCCTTACAAACAATTCATTCAATTCTCACGTAATGTGGAGTTCGGGACACAAGAAGTCCTGTCAGACCTGTTGTCTAATTATCATATGTTTTAATTATAATCAATAAATTAAATCAATTCAATATAAATACCTTTTTTAATGCACTCATTGTTATAGAAAATTGTCAACAATTTATTGGTTTTACAATTTGTTGACAAAAATTATGCAAATTATCATAAATTACGTCAAAACAAGTGATTCATTCAATTTGTCACATCATTTACAACTGATTCTTAATTTAATGATCAATGACCATGATCATCACACCCTCAAACACTTCAACTTTAACAACAATTAATTTCTAAAAGTGTCTAGGTTAGAAATAGTGGTTCAATAACTGTTACCCGTTTCGCCTTTAAGTGCATTCAAAAATATAGGTTAAAGAATATTTTATAACAGAACAAAAAAATGATTGCATATATTTAGTGCACATTTATTATAATTAATTTACAAAGTGGACAAATATTGTAGTCATTGTCCTGTAATTTACAAAATAATTTAAATATTTCATGAAATTGAGTATAAATTCTAATACATAATACAGTAATTGTATTCAATACTCATTCCAATATTAAATTAAAGTATTTGTTTTCAATATATTTTTCAATTGACAAATAAAATAATGATTTGATTTCGAGAAAATAGATAGAAAAATATGCAAATTTATAAAGGCGTACAAAATTATCCCTTAATCACAGCAATTGGTCTCAATTTGACACACTTTCTACTGATGTCGACGGCATGACAGGTGTTGACCACATCCGTGACATTCTTGTAAGATTCGGGCGCCTCTTCCATCACGAGTTTAGGTGACGCCACTCTAATCGATATGCCTTTCTTTGCCAAGTCTTCCAAAACATCCTTATAGTCCAGATTACGACGCGATTTAGACCGCGATAGGGCTCTACCGGCGCCGTGACATGTGGTCCCGAATGTCTCCTTCATTCCGGTCTCAGTTCCAGTCAAAACATAACTACACGTTCCCATCGTTCCACCAATTAGTACGGGTTGGCCAGTCAGCTGTCCGTCCAAACAAATAGCTATATGATGTTCAACAATAACACTATTTATGCTTAAAATACCTGATAATCGACAGGAATGAGAGGATGGTGTGGAGGGAAGGCTCGCGTCGCGCCTTTGCGATGAACTAACAAAGTCTTAAGCTTTCCGTCGACCAAATGCTGCTCTACTTTCGCGATATTATGCGAGACATCGTATATGACGTGCAAATCCAAGTCATCGGGAGTTGTCTTGAATGTCTTAGCGAATGCCTGTCGTGTCAGGAAAGT